AGTCTAAAAAGGCATTGATAAGAATGAAGAAGGCCTCACTCTTGCTTCCATATATATTCTCTAATTAGGAATTATATGGCAATATTCTATAGAATCTCTAATATATGTTGACTTTGGTAGAATTATGATTTAACTTGCAAAGATTTTTTACTTATTGATAGATATGTCAAAATCTACATCGTTTTGTTAATAAGACCCTAATATTTTGAATCTATTATTTTTGTTTTATTTTCAAGTATTAGACTTTTTTTATAATTTTAATGAAAGTAATTGATTCTTCAATACTTTTGTAAATTTTTTGTGCCATGCTTATTAAATTTATAAATGATTTAGAAGAAATCTAAATTAATATTGATTTATCAATTACTTTTTTTTTTTTAATTCATGTATTTGTAAAAAAATTAACATAGATGAAAGCTGAGATGAAAGAAGAATTAGAGACGTAGTTGTAACAATTCATTGATATCCAAGTATATAAGCTTGCAATCAAATGTCTTTCATTAAAGATGAAAGATTAGCAATACAATGTTTTTTATTTATTATTTATTTTTTATTATCATATTTAGATTTTTAACCACATCATCTCTTCAACTTTTGGAATTTTATGTAGAATCTATTGATTTAAGCTTTACCATTGCTTCTAAAGACTTATCATTAGAAATTTCTAAGATTTCTTCTCGATGCTCAATGTTCTCACATCTAACAAATTTAATATCATTGCTCTTGACCATTAAGTTATTTTTGATATTTTGATATAGTAAATTTGTGTAATATATAAAAATTAATTTAGAATTATAAAATATATTATTTCTTAATGTATATTTGATTATTAATTTAAATATTTTAAAAAGATTTATTCCTTAAAATAATTAATAATTAAAATATCAATTTATAACAAAAATTAGTATAAATATTTCAATAGGTTTATAAATAGGTGTATAAATTTAGATAGTAAGAAGTGCCATAATTTATTGGTAATAAATCTTTTAAAAAAATAAACAAAAAAAAATCAAACTTTAACTTTATAAGATTTGAGCTCTAGCCTTTAAATGTAAAGTAGCAACTAAAAGCTTGTAGAGATGGGACATATAATAAGGTGGTAGAATAGAATATAAGAGTTCCTAGATTCAGATTTCTATGATAGTAGAGAGAAAAGAGATTAAATATATATTATTGAAAATCTTCAATTAAATTATTGAAGGTGATTAAAGAATTGGCTCTAAAATAATTGTATTAGGTATTTATATTAGATGACTTATTACTTATTCAAAGATACAGATTTTAGAAATTACTTAAAGTTTACCAGTTTTTTTTTTTTTTTTTTTTTTTTTTTTAATCAAAAAAATTTAGAAAAATTAGTAGCAAATAAAGATCCAATGCTTTCTTAAAGCAAGATTATCTCTTTATGAAATATTGGTACTTCTATTAAAAGAACCTTAAAGCACTAGTTATTCAATTACAAATAATAGAAGATATTAATTTGGGATTTAGAATGCCAAGAGGAGTGGATTCAAATGACTTATCTTAGACAATTCCACAAATTATAGAGTAGCAACATCAAGCTCAAGAAAGTAGAAAAGATATCACTAAAGTCTTGTAAGCTGTAATTGATAAGATTGAAAGGTTTGAAGAAAAGAACATCAATTAATTTTTGAAAATTTTTATTTGTAAAATGAAAGTACATCAAGTTCCAATGATAAAAATTATTACTACTTTTATTTTATTTTTGTTCTTGAAATCAAGGAAAGAATGCAAGAATTGCACAAAGTTTTTATTTTGTAGAGAAAATTTGCAGAATAGTCCAAAAATGAATTCTTTGAAGAAAATTTTGAATGAATGAGTAAAAAGTAACTTTTATAATAAATTAAAAAGACTAGGAATTAAAATTAATCTAAGAAAATTTATCAAGAGACTTAAAAAGAAATTTGATCAATTATTAAGATATAGAAAGTAGCTACTGGGCATTAAAAAAAACTCAATTATTCTTATAAGCAATAAATAAAAATTTAAAGAATAAGCTACTCTTTTATTTTGAAAATATGACATTTGATAATAGCTTTACTAATAATTGGAGAAATATAAAAAATATAGTTGGACTTTTAGCTAAATAGCAAAAATTCAAGATTTGTAGTGATTTAATACAATTAGATCTTATGTATATTACTTAAACTTCTTTATCACCTCAAAAGATGAATAAAACTATCTAAGATAAGAAATTAGAGGAGCTAATAAAAAACATGAAAGATTTAAAGGTAGAAATGATTGAATTAAAGAGATTTCAAAAGCCTAGTTCATTAAGTATATAAAAAGAATCTAGAGGATTTATAAAGGAATTCTTGTAGTATAATAGTCCAAGCCATAAATATGGTCAGTGTGATAACTATAAAATACAATTAAATAAGATATTTTACATTTCAAAAAAAGAAAGAATAAGACTCTTAAGATTTTGATGAGCATTTAAGAACCAATTTTTAAAAAAGAAATACAAATAAATTAGTAAAAGAAAAAACCAACAAAAGTAGTATTATATTTAATATTGTAACTATTAAAGCATTCATAAGAGAAGATTAATAGAATGCTAATTTATATGATATTATAGTTGAAAAAAAGAAAAGTAGAGTTTTTTTAAAAAAATATTTTTTCGAACTTGCCAAAAAAAAAAATAATACTAAAAAAGATGATGAAAAATAAAAAGATTCATCAAAGAAGGCAAAAGATAAAAATCATTTTTATAAACTTTAATTTGATATTTAACGTCTATTGACATGACGAGTAAAAAATAAATATTTTTTTTTTTAATAGATGGGAGAAGAGTAAGGTAGCAAAAAAAAAAAAAAAAAAAAAAAAACTTACAAATATGAATTTGATCTTAAGTGAAGAGACTATAGATAGAATAGTAAAAGAAATATGTTTGAGAGATGATTTGATGGAAGACTTGGATAGTATAAAAAAAATAAATTTGTATTGAAAAGAGTATTATAAAGAATTGGAAGAAGTAATAGAAAGTATTAAAGATGGTACTAGCTATAAGTTGAAGCATGAAGCTATGGTACAAATTAAGTATAAAAAATAGCTAAGAAAATAGAATTGGTAGCTATCTAATTATTATAAGATATTATAGATAATATCAAGTAAAAATTTAAAGAATAAAAAATAAAGATGGAAAAAAAAATTGGATATCAATTCAATAAAGAGTCATTGTTTAAAGTAAAGATTAGAAAAGATGATTTTTTAACAACATAAAAAAATTGTTTTAAAAAATACTTATCAAATACAATAAGGTATTTTTTTAAATTATAATACAATAAAATGTGTAGTTTATAGTGTTAATGTGTAGATTATATGTTATGCTAATGATAATTTTTACTATATTATATAATTTTTGAAATATAAAGCATATTTCAATATCAAAAGTCTTATTTTTAAAATTAATTGAAATAAAAAAAGAAAGAGTAAAGATAGAAATTCTAAAAACTTCAATTGCTCCTTTTTTAATAAGTTATTTATAATGCCTAAAAAATCATGGATGTTAAAGTTTATTTAAGATATATAATTAACAAATAAGGTAATTACTCTTAACATGGAATTTGGGCTAAAGGAGTATAAAGTGGCTAAGTATTTTGTCGGTCATGCTATCTATTCTATAAATAATTTATATTAAAAGTATAATCAATTTCAATTAGTTGAAAAAAAATAAAAATCTAAAAACTATAAAAATCTTTTAGATTTAATGAGAAAGTATATCTTATTTTAAGATGCAACTAACTAAGTAGCTCATATTCTAAATACAAAAAAATAAATATTCAAAGATTTTATTCTAAAAAAGACCATTCTATTTTTTAATAATATATCAATGAAAGATTGTAAATATAAAAAAATAGATAAAAATATTAATGCATATAGTTCTAAAATATTTATTAAAAAATATATTAATGATGTGGTTGAAATATTGAAGAGGCTCTAGTTAATCAATTTGACATTTTTTTAGAAAAAATCTAGCTTTGGAATTGAAGAAATTCTAGTGATAAGACATATATGTGACAAATATTATAGGATATCAAATTTGAATAAATTTAATATTATATTCAAAATAAGGTATAAAATAGTGTTACAAAGTTAAAAGATTTTTGGATGTTTTATTTTTTTCACATTTTAAAGCCACTATACAAGTTATTAAAGAAAGATAAGAAATTCATCTAAAAAGAAAATAGAAAATCTAAAGCAAATTTTGACTTCACCACCTATATTTAGATAATTGGATTGTCAATATAAAAGGCTAATAGTGGTGATAGTGGATACTAGTTCTATAACAATTAGATGAGCTATGAGACAAAATGATTATGAAGGGAGGAAATTTGTCATAAGATTTGGAGTTAGAATTCTTATGAATAGACAAAGGCATATCTACAAGTCAAGAAAGAGCTTTAGGAAGCACTTATAGTCCTAAAGGCTAAAAGAAATTATTTGATTAGGGCTAGTGTGGTTTTAAAGACAGATTGTTTGCCTCTACTTCACACGGTAACCAATTGATTTATTTTGGACATTGCTATGCTTAGATGAATAGCTTCCAAACAAATACGATGGAGTCGTTTTAATTAGCATTGCCTCATATATCCAAGCAACTTCAAAGGGTAAAATCCTTTCCAAAGTCTACCCAAATTTTTCTCATTAATTTTCTAAGCCCTGTAACTTTTGAAGGATAACTTTGTTTTGAGTGAAATTTTATTTCCCTATACAGTGGTAAGGAAATGCACAAGGAAATGCACTGGAGTTTAAAATATTGTGCCAATTGAAGTAAAATTAAGTCGGCAATTGCCTGCCCAGATAGGCTAACAACCCAGTTTGGGTTGCGCGGTCCTTTACGGGTTAAATTCATTGGAGTCTTTTGGACAGAGATGGACGAAGAACGAAGGAGATGGTCGGAGATGGACGGAGCTGGGGAAACAGAATTGAAGCTTGGTGCATATGCATAGTAAATCGCTAGCGGGACTTGGCAATGGCGTGATTAAAAAAGGTGAGGATTGCTGAGCATGTTAGCTGCTAGCATACGATTGTGAAGATATATTTGATGTGGGCAAAGGGACAGAGAATAGATGGGTTGATGAGGTTCACGTCGAAAAACATGTCTGAATTGCAGAGCCGGAGATGTTCGAGGTCGTGGTGCTAGTTTCTTAAACGGATCGGTTTGCTGTTTGCTGTGTAGCGAGCAAAGTTCGCGGCAATTGGAAGATATTGAGCTTCATTTAAATCGATTAATTTTTCACACAGTACGTGGTTCGGTTTCGTGATGGTTGCTTTCATCTGGTGTTTGTGTTTCTTTGCACGTGAATGCTTTTATAGCTTGAAAACAGCGATCCCATTTGAATGGGCTGCAGAAGAGTTTGAGGAGGATAGATCATGAGGTCGAGGCGACGCACGTGTATTAACTTACTGGGTATCATGTAGTCTATGCTGGTCGGTGCTATGTTGCCATGATCTCTGGTTCTGTGACACGCCGCTGATTCCACTTGCTGTGAAGTACTTATAATTGAAAATTTGGAGTGTGAAATCAACGCGCGTTTGGGAGTTCGTGTTGTAGCTGCAGATTAGTATGCCGTTAGGTTAGTAAGGTGAACAGTACTCACTAGATCCTTAGCTTTGGATGTAAGGTAAGGAATTCATGTTCAAACTCCAGAGCTTCGGATCATTAGTGAATCTCCAGTAATTATGCAGCTGCCATTGCGGGTCCATCTCAACATTTGTATGCAGCCCAAGCTAGCGGCCACGGAATAAGTTGTTAGGATTTTCGACATGGATCTATTTAATTTCACCCAGGGTTAGATACTGAAGAGAATTGCAAATACGTTTCTGCGGAGGGGCTTCAGTTCATTTTGGGTGACAATCCTTTGTATTGGGAGATGGTGCCAGATCAGAATTCTATCATGTATGTACTGTTCTTCGAACGGTGCTGCAATGTTTAAGTACTCGCCACTGTAGAAAGTTTGGTTTTTTTAAGGAATGCGGTTGAGTTCACCTCCTGACTGCCAATTGGAGACAGTTTCGTCAGTATACTTGATCTGTTGTGCTTATGAAACTCTTTCTGTAGTGTTTCAGATCTTATATTCACTGATTTTATGATCTAGACATTTTAACTTGCAGTTCTTCTGTACGTTGTTGAACAAGCAGGTTTCTGAAGACTATTGCACGGTTGAAAAATGTCTTTTGGTTCGATGTAGAAGTTGAACTTGTGTGCTCACCCCCTCCGGGATACTACATCTCCTGGCGGACATACCTGTCGGCCGATTCATGTGGTTGGGATTCCAAGCCTCCAATTTTCACATTCTCAAAAATGTGTTTTTATTCATAGAGAGGCAAGTTGGATTTCCCTTGGCCTCAGGTAGTTGTAGGCAATCTACTTTCTTGTTATTGTCCACCACCGTTTTAACTTGGCCATTTACTTCCTTGCTTTGCCAAAATTGCTCTTTTAGGTTAGATGATGAATTGCCAAGTTGATATTATATCATTTTTAGAACTCCAAAAATGAACAAGTATACATCTTTTACTTTTGGAGCAAGTTACTTAAGATCCTAATATCCTACTTTGGTATTATAGTATAAATATATTCTTGATGACATTGGATTATGTTTCTTTTATAATAGTGCTACTTTGAGCCTCAATTCTCAAATCAAGGTTGAGATTAATTTTAGAGCATTTAAATAAAGACTTCTCAAAAATTACAATTCTTCACAATGACACCATGGTAATCCAATAATATTATTTTAGTTTAAATCTTTATTCGTAGTTCTATGGCTTTTTATTCTTCCATAATCTTTATCCTTGACTGCTTCTTTAAAAGTTGCTGATATTTTCTCATCTTATATATTACTTAATGTCTCTTACTTATCAATAGGCACAAGATATAAACCATAACATTTAAATTGTAACTTGTACATGTTGTTTATTTACTCAACAAAGCCTCTCTTTTTCCTATGTCCTTTGTTCTTAGAGAACTTAAAAACATACAAAAAGTGTTAGAAGGTGATTCACTTCATTGTATTTTGTGATTTCTACAAATTAATTTTAATTAGAAAAATTATTATAATATAGTTTTATATTATTTAAATATAAAAAAATTAAGAATAGAGAGTCTTTTTTCATTATTTATTTATTTATAAGAATTCAAATAGATTTATAAGTCACAAGAATCTCATTAGAAAAAAAATTATAAAAATAAAGTCTTAATAAGTTTCAAAGAAAATTATTTTAGTTGATTTAGTATTTTTATTGAGTATAAATATTTAGTTATTGAGACCAATATCTATATTGGCCTTCTATCAACATATATAACTTAAAAAATAAAAATAAAATCTATAAATATTAATAAGTAGTTAAAAAAAGTATAAAAATGAATCTCTATTAGGGACATGAATCTCAAAGAAAGAGAATCCTTGATACACTTGTGTCATTGAAGAGAACTAAAAAGTCACTCAAAAGGTAATGTAATATTAATTAAAATGGCTATTACCAAAAACAAGAAGATTAGAAAGTCTTCAAACAAGACTAAGGACTAGAAAGACATTGACAAGAGTGAAGAAGGCTTAATTCTTGCCTCTATATATACTCTTAACTGGGAGCTACATGGTGATGTCGTATAAGACTTCCAAAATATGTTGACTTTTTTAGCCACATGTCTCAACTTGCAAGGCAAGTTATCTATGTATGCGCCACATGATTAGCTTATTCCACAAGCTATTATGCGGAGTTAACTTGTTCCATAAGCTACCAACATGTGTTTAATTTATTGGCCAAGTCTCTGACCTACAAATACATCTAAAGTCAAAATTGTATCTATGAAGCTTCTAAGAAGCTTCACTAAAAGATTTTATGTAATTAATTTATATTTACCTATTTCTATCAAATCATATAAGTAATTATTGAAGTAAATATATATGTCTGTGACATTATCCCCCCCCTTCTAAGGATGAGTTCCATGAAGAGCGGTCTTCATATGTTGAGGAAGTGCAAGATACAGCGAATTATATTTGCCACATATTTCAATCTTTGCTTTCTTTGAAGATGGTTGATAGGCCCTTTTAGCCATCAATAGTGTTTCATATCAGGGTGAGAAGACCACCCTGTTATTTGATCGTTGTTGAGGCCTTCGTAACTTCCTTCAAATAAAATATTTGGAACACCATCAGGAATTGTTCCTACATCCAATAAAATCATCAAACAATGGAAGTCTCTTCCAAAGTTGTGATACCAAATACGTTGTATTTTTCCATCTATTTGAGGAAGGATATGTCATTCTTGAAGATCTTCATCTCAATTTTGTTGTCTTGAAGATTGTGACAATTGCAATGTCTCATCTAATAAATCCTCAAACCAAAACTTTTGAGTTTAATCTGCTGGTTGTTGGTTCTCCATCTCCTTAGTGTCAAAAATATATACAAGCTATAAAGAAAGAAGGTAGAATGTTATCTTCTTTTGATGTTGTTTCTTAAATAGCAAAGATTTGTTATTCTTTATCTTGATTTTGATGGATTTTGTTGATGAAAAGCTTCAACTTTCATTGCTCTATTTACAAGCTTCTTTGCTCGCTTCCATGTGCCTTCACTAATATCATATCCGGACCAATGAACAAGATATTTCAACCTATTTTGGCACCGCCTTGAGTCTAAGACTTCTTCGACCTTGAACTCTTGATTATTATCTACTACTATAAGAAGAGGTGGCATTTGTCTTCTTTCAAAAATATTCATTGTCTTATACAACTCAAAAAAGTAGATGTGAAATACAGGGTGGATCTTCATAGACTTTGATAGATGTAATCATTAAGCAATACGATAGATTTATTCACAAATAGAAAAAAGTCTCAACCTATGATAGTCCAACTTATCACAAAGACAAGTAGTCTTGATATTGCGATGAAGTAATCATACCTTATCACCTATATTGAATTGTAGTTCCTTCTTATAATAGGCACCAGCATTGGTCTTTTGTTGTCCTCGAGGTCCTTTTAATTGTATCTTCATTACTGCATGTAGCTCTAACAAATGATTTGCTAAATCTTTTGCCACAAGATTATTAACTTTTGAAAAGCCAAAAGTATCAAGTCATAGATGATAATCATAATTAGTAAAAAAATATGTTTGTTGAATAGAAGAATATATTGAATTATTACATGTAAATTTTACTAATGACAAAAGAGTTGTCCAATCATCTTCATGATAGTTGATAGTACACCTCAAATATTGTTTCAAAATTTGATTCACTCGTTTTATTTGCCCATCAATTTGAAGGTGAAGAGCTGAAAAAAGCTTATATCTAATTTTAAAATCTTAAATAAGGTTTTCTAAAATCTTAATATAAATTGAGTTCTCCTATGCAATATAATATCCTTTGGCAATCCATGATAGCGATAAATATTGTCAATAAAAGCTTAGTTGTTTCTTCACCTGAAATAGATTTTGTATATAGTACAGAATGTGCCATTTTGGCAAAGCGAACTACAATTACGATGTTGTGTTGTAGTTCGGCTACCATGTGAAAATAATGTGATTATATAATTATTATACAATTTACTTAGAAACATGGTGAAAGCGATGTTACTGGATTTTAGTTGGTTGTAGAGCGTGGTTAAATTACTACTTTAAAAAGAGGTTGTTTAAAGGAATTACTATTAGAATTTATATAACTTTATTTTCTTTTGATAGTGGCTTTTGAGATTAATTTTTTTGGTAGTAAATTTAAATATTTAGAGTCACCATTATTAAACATTGGAGATCCTTGAAGTCTTATTTTGGTTCTTTAATTTGGTGTTTAGGACATATATTATATAAATCTTATACAAAAAAAAACAAAAAAAATATTAAAGAAGAGTTTTGGTAGCAAAAAGAGTAGTTAAGGCATCTATATGGATGAATGGAGATTGTTGATATAAATTTCCATACCCATTGGTAAAAAATCATGACCAATGGACTTCAAGGAGGCTACCTGAGGCTATATTAGGAATTAGGGTTAGTATTTCGAGGGAATTTGAATACTAGAGATTAGGATCTGCAAGTTCAGGTTTTTGACTATGGTTTTGGTGAAAATTTTCAGTCATTTGGAGTTTTTATGAAGGAGATATAGGTGCTCAAAGTTGAAGTGTTGATTTTGTACTTATTATCACTCTTTTGGGTATAACACACGCGTATAAAAAGCAACTAAGGATCAACAATTAGGGTTAGAGAAAAAACTTTCTTTGCTATACTTTATGCATATTGCTTAATGAATTCTAAGCTAGGATGAAGGAGATATTGGAAGTTAAAGTCAGCATTTGAAATTTAAGGAGTTATAAGTGATCCAAATTTCTAGTAGTTGTGTTTTGAGCTATATCTTATGCAATTTGACAAGATTTTGGCTAAGAATTTTTAAGAATGTGTATTTTTATGTTACTAAACTTTATACATAAGTTTTGTGACATTTGAATTTCGGAATTATGAGATATAAAGAAAATAGTACTTAGGTGCTTCTGAATTAGGATTTTAGAGTACCTACTAGGGTTTTTAAGATGCCAAATGACCGATAGTGAATTTACAATTGAATTTTTGTAAAGTAAAGCTTTATAGTGAATTTTATAATATCTGTGAATTTGAAAAAATTTGAACAATTAGATCAAGAGATATGAATTTCTAAAGTTTAAGAAGAAGAAATCCTTTGCAGGAATATTATATTTTGAAGGAATTTTATTATAACTTGAGCATTTTATACAAAATAAAGGATTATTTTTGAAAGACAAGACTTTATATATATGTTGAAGATGGATATATGGAGCTATAGTTGAATTTTTGTATAAAGATGAACTTTTGTGAGGAGATTGTGGATTTCCTTTGAAGTTATTGAAAACTTAATCTACCAGCAAATGGTTAGCTATGATTTGGTATAGCCAAGAATGTTAGAAAATTTCTAGATATTTTAGAAAGCCTTATGTACAAAAATTCTTAAATATAAAAGGATTTATTAATACAATATCTTTTTGATATTATAGTATTAATTTATCTTCTATTTTTAAGATTAAATAACTTATTGGAGCTTGGCCAATAAGTTAAAACTAAAATTTCTACAATTAGGTACCTAGTGTATTCTCAGATAGAAAACCATGCAATACAATAACGGACATGGAATCATGTGAATTTGAGACTAAAAGATCTATGATAAAATCTATAGAAACAGAAGACTATGATTGTTTTGGAATAGGTAATGGTTGAAGCAATCCATAAGGTCTATGGCAAGGAGTTTTGGATCTTAAACAAGTATCACATGATTGTACAAAGTCTTTTATTTCCTTCCATATTTGCGGCTACCAAAAATCTCTAGATATAAGCTCTAAAATCTTGTTGTATCCAAAATATCCTACTATTGGAAAATCATGACGTTGTCTTGTTGTGGTTAGGCTACTATGTGAAAATAATGTGATTATGTATTTAATATATAATTTACTTAACAACATAGTGAAAGCCATGTTATTAGATTTTAGTTGATTTTAGAATGTGATTAAATTACTACTTTAAAAGGAGGTTGTTTAAAAGGATCACTATTAAAATTTGTA